AAGATATTGACCACCTTGTAGAATGTACAGCATACCAAAAGATATGGAATATTATTGAAGAAGAAGCTAGTGAAGAAGGCCTAAAAACACTGCAAAAAGAAGGCGCCACAAGAAACCTTTATGATAAGAAGACAATCAAAAATCTTTTCTTTGGCAAAACTCAAGAAGAAAGGATAGAAACAAGAAGAAGTTTAGTAAAAAGCCTTATAACCAAGAAGAAGAGGATAGAAATCGATGAAGAATTTGAAGATCCAAATATATTTTGCAAGGTAATGAACAAGATTAAAAGGAAGTTCAATGAAAGGTTTAGGACTTGTATATGGGACTTCAGATGCGAACTACTAAATGACTGGGAAAAGGAGAATGGAATAACAAACGACCTCAAGAAAAAGAAGAGACCAAGAAAAAAAAGAATTTTGAAAGAATCAAATAACCAAGAAACTAGGGTTAAAGAGAAAGAAGCTTTAGAAAAGGCCTGAAAGGAAAAGAAAAACAAGTCGTAAGTCTAGCAAAAGAAAACAGTCAAAATTTAATCCAATATCGTGTGAAACCAAATTGGTCCTCCTGGACCAATTGCGGCAAAAATTGGTGATTTCTGACAAGGTCAGTAGCTCCCAGCTAAGGATCAAAAGAACCAAATTCTCAGAAAGTTGAGGATCCAACGTGAAGCAAATTTGGCTGCTTAGGCGGGTCGCACCTGGACTAAAAAGCTGAGTGAGTCTTTATTAGTATAGGAATATAGTATAGAAAATTTATATTTAGTATAAATGTAAAGTTCTGATACTTCCGATGTAAATAATAAAGGCAGAATTGCCAAAAAAAAAAAAAAAAAAGAATACTATATGCTAAGTATATTAGAAGAATATTCAAAATAAATAAACATATTAAAGTAATAGAGAAAAAATTTAAAAAAGAAAATTATTAAATAGAGATAGTTTTTAAACAGTTAACAAAGTAAAAAAAAAAAGATGATTGATTAAACTTAATTTTAGAAGAAGCAGAAAATATTTGATCCAAACAAAAAGAATAAGAAAAAAACCAAACTGTAACAAGAAGATATAATTATGAAAGATATATAAATATAAACTGTATTATAGTCTGAGACTTCATAACAAATATAAGAATGCAAAAAGTTAAACATATATACAAAAAATTAGCAAAGATAGAAGAGATATATATAAAATATAGAAATGATAGAGCTTTTACAGTAATAGAGTTCAACTTAAGAATAGAAGCTGAAAATATATTTTGGGTTCTTCTAATAGAAGATAGAAAATTAACCTAAGTCTCTATAAGAAAAGAAAATTATAAAAAAAGAGATCAAAGACACAAGTTTGTATTAAAACTTGTTAAAATTATAAAAAGCTTCTCAGAAACACTATTTCTTAGGTACTTAAAAGATAAAAAAACAAAGGCAGTATATATTTCCAAAAGAATAGTAAATTTATAAAGCAAATCGCAAAACTAATTTTTATTACCAAATTAGAAATAAAGAAAGTACAGAAAAAGTTAGTAAGATATAATAATCTTTTTCTTTATTAGTTACAAACCAAGCAAGAGGAAAAATTAAAAATAGGAAGTTCAATAAAAGGACAGAAACAGTAAAACAATATATAGAAAAGTAAAACAAGTGAAAAAGAAGAAGAATTATACAAATAAAAAATTTAACAAAAAGACATCATTACACAAAGAAGTAAGTTGTAATTCAAACAGAAGTAGCAATAACAAAGAGTATAAAGAAAAATAAAAAATAAAAGAAAGTACTTCAGTAATAAACCAGAAAAAGCAAAAAACCCAGGTTGTAAAAGTTTATTAAATAGTGAAAGTTTGGTAACAAAAATAGAAAAACACTATATGATGCTTCAAAAAAAAAATTATGTGATATCTAAAAAGACTGAATAAGCAGCTAATAGCTGTTTAATACTTCTGAAATTAGAAGCACCAGTAATTCTATAGATAGTTTGTATAATTCTAAAATTTGGACTTGTATTTTTAGATGAAATTAGATGAATTAGCATAGGAAACTCAGATTAGAGAGTTTCAATAAAAAATCTACAAGTAGATTTCAGATATGGCATATGAAGAATAACTATAAATATATAGCAGAGCTAAAGTTGTACATGTGTTTATATGTATCCTTGTCAGAATGTACTTGTCCAAAGCCTCTTGAAAAGGACACCATATAATTCTATAAACTAATAAAGCAATAAGTCAAAGAGGCTAACCTTGACTATAAAAAAAAAAACAATAAACAAATATATTATAATAATAATAAACTTAAATATTTACTGTATTACTTTTAAAAATAGTATATTTATTCTGTTGCTTTATAACAACGGGTTACAACTAGTTTTAAAAAAATAATTTAAATAGTCACGTACTGTATAATAAAATATTAAAAATTTATTTAGATTATTAAAAAAACCAATTATTGATTGATTATTGATTAATTATAAAATTAGAATTTTTTTTATTTCTATATACATACAGTATATATCTAGTTAGTAGTTATAATCAAATATATATTACAAGGCTTTAACCAAAATATATATAAGCCAATTATTGTTAAGATTTTTTCATAGAATATTTTAGAATTACTTCACTCAACCGTAATAGCATAATTTTATTGGTTAATCATCATGGGCAATCAGGTATAGATCTAAATTAATCAATTAGGCGAATGTTTCTACCCATAAGTTGAAGACACGGGAAAGTTGTTATTTGTAAAAATTTCTTGTTTAGGTAAAAATCAATATTTGTTTACTAGAAGTCTCCGTAATTATGTTTATTGTTCACTATAAAGCCGAATTTTCTAAATCCGAATTTGCTTAATTAGTATGCGGGTTTATCTTGCAAATATAACCATTTCATTTGATTGGTTAAATTCGGAAAAAAGGGATCTCTTGCAATACAATGTACTGTTATGCAAGATTCACAATGTAGAGCTGTATTCGGAGTTTTTTTTTTTAATTTTAGCTTTGCCATTCTTCAAAGTTTTTTCCACACATAGGGGTATTTCTCAAAACAGAAGCATCGCTTTTCGGAGTTTTTGCATATTATTAATGCATAAGTCCCCAGCGGATTTTAGTAGTAGCAAAAATAGCACTAGGATAACGACAACCACATAACAAAATCTGACCAAATTTGTTTTATTTTAATTCTATATATCTAGAATTAAAATAAAACAACTTCAGTCAGATTGGTTATGTGGTTGTCGTGATATCGCTAGTGCTATTTTTGCTACTACTAAAATCCATTGACTCACCTTAACATAATAGTCTGGCTCTGGCCCCCAGGTACAAACATAAGGGAATATGCAAGTCAGAAATTTATGGTAGGTAACACTTTTGATAAAATGCATTACTGAATGAAACTAAATAATAGATCCATTTACATGCGCATATAACTCTCAGTGACAAAGTATTTGAATGGCTAAAAACGAAAGATCTATCATACTATATTCTTAGTATTATAACAACATTATGTACAAATAGTCGAATGTTTTTGTCTTCCAAAAGTGATTATGATCACTTGCGGATACTGATATAGTATATTCGGTTTTAGATTCAGACTTTATTCCAAGGAAAAAAGATTTTCCGAAAACCGGGCTTAGGATTTGGAACTTACAAGAAAAATCAAAACTTAGTATTCAGTGCTAACAGATAAAGGTCTAGAACTCTGATATTTTAAATATGGTTGAAAAGTGCCTAGACACTTGGATTTACTTGGATCCAAATCCTGGGTTAACCAGGTTAACCGGATTAGGGCTTTACTTATTTGTGCCCGATAATACAACTTCCTAAAAGGGAAACAGCCAGTCAGTGAGTTCAAATTTTGATCGTTTCGGATCTGCCCGACATGAATTTCGAACACGTGCGAAAGAAGAAAAAAACGAAAATACTCCAAAACTAGTGTTTAAATCGACCTTGGTGCACTAATTAAAAATGCCGAGAACTCAATTTAACATATAATAAACAACAGTCCTACGGTCATAGCTTTTTATATTAACGTCCTAACCTAAATGTTTTTGCGCACTTTATTTACCAAATTAAATTGCCTTTTTTGGGTTGTATTACCACATAAAGTACACCCTTCTCCACCAATGATACCTATGGATTCGTGAATAGTACTCGGTACTATTCTAAAAACGAAGTTCTTGAATACTGGAATAAGACTCTGGGTACTGTAGGCAGCGGCGACGGTAAATAAATATACCGGATTTATGACGCGGTAAACGCGTGATCCTAAAAATTTCCTTAACATGAAAATATTTTGAAATATTGATTACCTCAAAAATGCTCAAAAATGGTTAATAATCCCTGTTTTAAAGAATTTTACCAATATTAACATTCAATGAAGTAAGATAAGAGATTATATTAAAATTTCTATTTTACTTTTAGATTCAGATGAACTTTACCAATAATCAAGACTGGTCTGTTACCAATAGGAATTTTTGACTTTAATTAGAATAACTTCTAATCCAAGTACTAACCATAGCGATAGATTTATTAAACATGTAAATCAGTATATTTTAGTCTAATTAACTAATCATAGATACGTACGTACACCTTTTTTATTAGTCTATAAAAATCAATGCATAAAAAACCAATTTTAGTGAATTTTAGTTTGTTATGTAAAAGTTAATTTATTTACTGTATATGTATATATGTATAGTATAAAATAAATATCCATTAGTTTTTTTTTGTATTATTTATTGATTTTTAATTTAGTACAATTTGTACATACAATATTCCAAATACTAATACTACAATAAAATTTACTACTATTACACCAAATACGTATATTATTATAAATTTTGTTTAATGGATAATTTTTTTGATTTTACCCTTTACTCCGATATCTAAATGTTGATTATCAAATACAAAAGGATTGAAAGATGGAAATCAATGGATTAATTTAATCATACCAGTTGTTTTTTAAACGACGGAATTGTTCATGTTCATTCAGCAAATTAGATTTCATAGTAATATTAAGGTTCTCTACGTTGAATGGTTATTTTCTTCATATCCATTTGAATATGAGGCACCTCCAATAATACCAGCATGCATATTGCTATTATGACTATAGTTTGTACTATTTGTGTTTGATCTTGATGGTGACGTATAAGTGGGTTGTGACATTTGTGAATAATCACCAGGGGATGATACGAAGCCCTCATTTAGGGGAGTATTAACCGGTGAAGCATCACTTAATGGGGGTGGAACCATTAGTGAATCTGTTTTCCTTCGAATACCACTTCTTGCACTAAGTGGTGCTACAGGTATGGATTCTGATTTTTCGCTACCATACATTGTTGATGCTGATGATGGGCGTGTTGACGGTATATTGAAATTTTCGTCAGGAGACAATTGCACTGACTGTATTCGTTGATGTGAATTGTGACGAAGTTTATATAGTTCCCATTCAGCCCATCGTTTCATTACAATATGTGAACTATCAAACTCTCCTTCCCTTCTTGAATGATCTGCTCGACCATCTTCCCCTTTCACCACACGTGTTTGTCCCCAAGAAAAGTCATCAAAATGCCAAAATGCATATGATGGAAGAACAAAGTTCCATATGGGTAATGATAAAAGGTAAATCAACATCCAACCAACATAAATAATTTTACGTGTTGTTACCAGAATGAGAACAGCAGGTAAACCTAATACAGCTGCCAAAAGAAACAAAGGAACTATAGGTGGAGGATTTTGGAAGAACGATATTACTATTAAATACATTGTGAAAGAGATAGCAGCTGGAAGTACAACAGTGCCAACCAACTCCATAAATATAACAAATTGCATGGAAAAGCAAAAAGTTCCACATAAATCAGGGATAAGCACAAGTTCCAAAAGGTTATGTACTGTGGAATTAATCCATCGACGACGTTGAGAACGAAGTACACGGAATGTATCAGGTACTACAGTTTTACAAACTGATTGGGGAACAAATAATGTTTTTCGTTTAGGAAAGTTTTTAAGCATAAGGGTTGTTAGATATCGATCCTCTCCAAGAAGAAGTAAGTTTTTCTTATGTAGAGTATCTACAATATTTTCAGAATATTGCTCAACAATGTCCGGATTTGCAAGAATAGGAACCCAATAACCATTCTCTCCCTTTGGCGCCTTAATCCTGTACATACAAAAGCAACCGGGTAAACAAGTGACACCACCAAAAATGGATTCGAACGCCTTTTGTAGATGGTGATTAATGTAATATTCGAAAACTATGAATAATAAATACATAAATAAATATATAAATATAAATGTAATAAAATATAATGTATAAAATAGAATATATCTAATATTAAATATACCTTGAATCCTTGTCACCCAAGTATCATTTTTGTTTGAAATCTTTGTCTCCCCACAAAGACCCATTACACTTGGATCATGTGACATACAGGCAACCATACGAACCAATGAATCAGGGAAAACTTTGGTATCAGCGTCAATCTAATTTACAATACGTTATGATACATTTTGTTATTAATATTGCGAATCATAATAAAATCATAATAAAATCATAATAAAATCATATTACTAACCATAAGAACTACTTCAAAAAAGTCAGGAGTAATATAGCAAACGGATCGAATTGCAGTAAAAAGTTCGTATTCAAGTCGAGTCATTCTTTCATTAAACATAACCTTTTGTAAGAAGCTCATTAAAATAATTTGGGAGTCACGTTTACCACGATTTCCAGCTTTTGCCTCATTTTCCTCCCCAGGACCACCACATTTAGCTACAGTGATCATAGGAACACGATCTTGTCTCCCATCCAATTCTCGATAATGATAAAAACCAGCATAAACTTTTGCCCTATTGTGACGTTTTTTACCATCAGCTATTGCAACATAAGAATGAGGCTCAACTTCATTAGGATGAATAATATGATCACTCATCAGTGAAACACAAATGTCCGGTGTCGAAAGATCATTACCAGCACCAAAAATGGTACCATCAGCTATACAAAGAAGTAATTTATGCGATTTTGGATATTCTGTCCTGGCCAATGAATCTAAAGTTGTTTTTATACCCTGTTTACCTTCAGAATAGCATGTAACCAATAAAATAGTGTGCATTAGGGGAAAATTATAACGTTGATCGGGAATGGCAACATTATTAGTTTGGTAAGGTGATGATTGAGCAGCAGATGATGTAGATGTCATTGAATCCGCACGACTTTGAGGATATTCATTAATTGATGATGGCCTGCTATTTTTTGAACTATTATGTTCTTTTGCCATACCTACAGAATAGTTATGAATAGTTATGAATAGTTATGAATAGTTGTGAATAGTTATGAATAGTTATGAATAGTTGTGAATAGTTATAGGGAATTAATATTAATTTATGACCAAAGAATAATAAGATAAAGATAATAAAGATAATAAAAACAATAAGGACAATAAAAGATAATAAAGATAATAAAGATAATAAAGACGATAATAAAGATAATAAAGACAATAAAAGATAATAAAGAAAATAAAAGATAATAAAGATAATAAAGTCGTGATTAAAGATCCTTACCATTTGCGGCACTAAAAGTGTTTCTACTACTTGGACGACTATCAGTTCTTCTGTATGCTAAAGCATTACCATTTACATTATTAGGTGTAGAAAATCGAGATTTTGAGAAAATACCAAACGATGTTGTTGAATTATTTCTTGAGTTGCTAAAAAAAAAATTATAACCGAAATGTTAATAAATGTTAATAAAAGATAAATAAAAGGTAAAGTTCAATTCTTACCTTGTAGAAGGATAAAAGTGATTATTTTCATTTGACCATAACTCAATTTCCCGTTCTCTTTTTGCAATTTCTTCAGCAGTTTCTTCACGAAAACTTCCTAATCGCCAACTTAATATCCACCCAAACAAAACAGCCAAAAAAAATCTAACTAAAACCACACCAGCTATAAAAAGTAAAGATACAAGCATTACGGCATTGGAAATAACACAACCAATAGATATGGTATCAACGACGCCAACACGCAAGGTCTCCTCCATACACTTTGCCAATTGTATATTTGTATAACTCTTTTGTAAAAAGTGTGTCATATCCCGACCACGAAAAGTGTTTGTATTGGCATTCATCATTGGTTTAAGAATGTCAGGTAATTTGATATTTGGTACAGTCCATTGAAGACGATCCAAATCAAAAACTTGTCTGATTAAAATAAAGATGTATTATAACATTTCCATATATAAAACAGGAAAAGGAATGAAAGGATAAATAAAGCATACCCATTAAAAACAACATAATTATGTTTCGAAGACTGCACATCCTCCCAATCATAAAAGATGTCACCAACAGGTTTTAAAGTTAATATAGCACGTCTCGCGTTAGTAGAACCATGACAACCAGATTGAGTAGGATTTAAAGAAGTATTTGGAGCTAAAGGATCATTATTACTGAGTGCTACGCAAGGGAAATAATTAATAACATTTCCATTGCTATCAGCAGGTTGAACGGGAACAAATAGGCCTTTGCAATGAATGTTAGCACCCTGAAACAGGAACGATAGATCATTACCACCAGCAGTTCTTTCAAAAGTAGTAGCATTTATTATGCCAGGAATTGGAGGATGAGTAAACCCTCTAATGTTAAAAACTCTCCCAAGTATAGAAATTTGACTATTAGTGATTGCACCAGAACGAATCCGCTGGGGAGGAGTGCCACAAAAAACTTGATCAAAACCAAAAGTCAAGAAACCGACAGCTAGACAAAGAATGAATATAATCACAACAAGGGCGACCTTTTCACGCCAAGCATGTTGAGCCAACACATCATTCATTCCTGGAACATAAAATATAAACTAGGATTAACTAATATTGTTTTTAACTAAGTTTTAATCAAGTTCGAAATATTTAACTAAATTTGAAATCTTTAATTAAATTTGAAATATTTAATTAAATTTAAAATATTTAATTAAATTTGAAATATTTAACTAAATTTGAAATATTTAACTATGAAAATTTGAAAAAAAAAGACATACCACAACAAGACAAAAATGGAGGAGCCCAACAGGTAATACATCTTGAAAACATTACCCAGGCAGAAGGACATTGACATTTTTTCTTTTTTTGAACTATTGGAGATGACCTCCGCTCACCCGAAGGACGACCTTGATTTTTTCGATCATCATTATCTCTACGATTATTATCAAAAGTACTCCATCTATTATTTAAATTTTCAATATTATTATTTTGATCAATTCTTTGATCATTTATGACACGACGATTACGCGCACGTTCAGGTTTTACAAGAGATTTTTGACGACGAGTTTGAGCACCTAAAGAGGTATTTTCAGGACCAGGACGAGAACCTGAGGGATAAGAATCAGGAGGACGAGGACGATAACTCTTTGAATGCGTTAATGGGTTTTTTTGATCAGCATCGTGATAAGACGCGTCATTAACAGAAGTCACATTATGACTCCCTCTGACATTTTGACCAAGTGTGTTATATGGTGGTTGTCCTTTCTTATCTTTTTTTTTTTTTTTTTTTTTAAAAAAAAAAAAATAATATTAAATAATATTAAATAATATTGCATTAATAAAATATAAGTTTGAGATTTTTATAATTCGGCGATATATCACATATGATATAG